GTTGTGATAAACCAAAGATGAGGACAATGGTCGGTAAATAGTGTACATAATCATCATCTATAGACTGAGATGCGATAATTCACCCAGGCAATGGATGCAATCATTTATACCAGAGATCATCAGACAGATCCAACCTCCAGTTTCACATGTGATTGTTGTTGAACAATAGAAGAATATGAGTTCGTCATATTGACGGCGAAAAAATGATTAAAAATCTGGAACAGTAATTTTACACTGTTGCCACTTTTTAAAGCTAACGTGTCAAAACCTTTTTACTAATCGTCATACGAAACTTTTTGAAGTTTATGAAGACTGGTAAAAGTCTTCTTCTATCAACTCTCTTAAATGCTGAACATGGATGATGAAAATTATAAATAAATAAATCGAGTGTTTTTGAATGGACAGGAGGTTCACTAAATGACTAGATGTGAGGAATGGGAAGACCAAAAGCACAAATGCGGTTGGAAACCCAGTCGAATTTCGATTGAGGATTTTACAGCAAAGAGCAGAAAAATGAATACCAATTCGATGAGTTCTAACGGAAAATTAGAAAAAAAAAATGTTTCGTTTGATTTCCACTCTGGCTTCCCCCATTCAAGACCCATCAAGAGGAATAATTTTAAAAAAAGAGGGAAAAGTAGAGGAAAAACTGGATCAGGAGGATCCACAAAACCAAAATGGATCAATTTGGTAAGCTAAACACATTCTTATTGAAAGAAAGTGGTAAATGGATCTGTGATTTTGGGATAGTTCCAAAATTGAAAATAACGGACAAAGATTTACTGATCTTCGTCAATAACAGATGATTTCATTACTGAAAGTTATTTTTGGAAAAGTAGTTCAAGAATGATTCGCAATAAAAACCATCGTCTAACAAATTCCATAAACATGGCATTGATGCTGACAGCAGGAGAGCGTATACAAACATTTTTAAAGAATTTATTAAGATATTAATCCCTCGAATATTCAGGCTATTGTCAAATGACGGTGAAAAAGATGAAATCTGGAGCAGTAATTTTACCATAAATACTTAGTACCATAGAAGAGAGTTCATCAAAAGCAATTATGATGAAAGTATTTAAAAAGGACAGATAAGATACGTTACGGCTTATACAGAAGCCAAGATGCCAGGAGACCGTTAACATTGTGAATTCTTATTTGGATGTTATCAAGAATCTCTGAATATATAGCAGGAGCACCAGAGTGAACCAACTTTCCTAGAAGCAGACCCAGGAATAGATTCAATATAATCTTTCCACTTCATGTCAGCGGAAGACATTAGTCCAAGAAGGTGTAATGAGTCACTCTCCTGGGGATCTTTAGTATCAGCCATGCTGATCGAAAATTAAAAAAAAAAAAAAAACGGCTCTTCAGACGATTAAAATGTTTCGTTTTGATAAAATTAACAATTATTTTTGTCCCAGTTAACAACTGATAGGTTTTTTTCAGACCAGTCCTGATTATTTATCGAACCGATCAGACTTCAAAACTATGGAGGAAATAGTTTTTCATCAGTATACCTGCGTATAAATTATTATCTCGATATGTTTTTTCTAATATTTCAAAAAACCGTCCAATCAATTACCAAAATTTTCACAAATGTTAACACTGATCTGCGTAATCTACATTTTTCGTACTGATCTGCGGTAAACAAACTGACACAAACACGCATACGTATATAAAAGCGCTAATAATTGAGAATAAGAAAAACGAAAAATATTCATTAAAAATCAAACTCTTCATATCTGCCGTCTCCTTTCAGAACGTGAGCGATTATGGCTCTCCGCAACTTCCTATATTTGTAGTTCTCAGCAGCATTTGTCACTCACATTCCCTGTTTTTCTGCTGTCTATTTGCAGATACTTCTATCTATCTATCTATCTATCTATCTATCTATATATATCTATCTATCTATCTATCTAATCAATCTATCTAGAACATTTCATCTCTATCTATATAACATTTCTATCTATCTATCTATCTATCTAAATATCTATCTATCTATCACCTGCATACAGAAACACAATTATGATATGATTCATTTTTTATATATATAAGTTCGTAGAATATAAATTAATATAATATTTAAATTAAATCAATAGAGTAGAAATCCCCAAATCCAGACATAGCATAATCTAGACTCTCTGGAATTAAACTTCCTCGAATTTAGACTCATTTTCAAATCCAATTTTTTTATTGACATAAATACCAAACAACTCAGATGTTCGATTTAGAGGAGTTCTACTGTATATCCTTATTTTTGACTTCCTTTACAGATTGTAATTGTTTTTAAATGATAAATTTATAATTATAAATGTTTAAAATTTATAATTTACACAAATTTTCATATATATAATTATTTTTGTAATTTTATATACTTTTAAATTATAAACGTTACAAACTATTTGTATCCTAAACTTTAAAAATCATATATAAAATTTATTTATATTAGAATTATATATGCCGAATATCCAGATGTTATTTAAATAGTTATATATATAATGCTTCAATTATAGCTTTATAAAATTAAATATACACCTTTATAAGTTGTTATAATAATTATATATGTATGTATATATAATTATATTTTAATGGAGCAAAAAAAAGCAAAAATGTTCTTGCGTCAATAAAGAAAAAAAACGTCGTATACTGATGTTAATAAGATTTAAGAATCTGTCCGTCATATAACTGAACTACAGCTTTCTTACTTTCAAATAGCAAATCACTATATATATATATGAATTTTTATAAATATAATTTGTTGTTATATTTCTTATACGATAATAAAGTGGTTCTTAGTCTATATAGTTCGGAATATAGCTTTATATATATATATGCTATTTATACCACAGTTGAAGAATATTATCTCATATTTATATATATAAATAATTGTATATATATATATATTTTATATATATATACGGGTGTTATACAATCTTGAAAATATCAATATTTTACCTAAAAACAAAACAAAAAAAAAACTAGTTGAGTTTCTTTTCCATGTTTTCTTAAACGTTTAGCCATTTTGTTACTATTTGAAAGAAATCACTGAAAAACCCTTTGAGTTATTCTTCGTAAATGGATGAGAACTGTTTTTTCAATCCCTTCAAGAGTTGATGAGAACAAAAATCATTCATCCGGAATTGAACTCATTTTGGCCGATTCCGCCTGCGCCGTTAGTATAGTCAAGTTATTCATATATTATCAAAACTTTCATATTATCAAATTACTATGAAAAGAGTCTTAATTAATGGATTAAAATTTTCATACGCATATGCCGGTGCAGTAAAAAAATGTCTTTGCACTGTAACACAATTTTCAATAAGATACTTGAACCGTTGTATGAAGAAATGAAAAGATATCTTACTGGAAATGACTTATAACAATATGAACTCTACTTACGTTGAGAATGTTTGTTTGGTTTGTTAACAGAAAATCCTTATCATCGATTGAAATCTAAGGACATTCTCATAGCTTTATTGAAAAAAAGTTTTATCATATATATATATATATATAAATATATATATATAAATAAAGATATATATAAAATTTCAAAATCATCTTCCAACTTATTCAAGATGATCTTGGACTCTCTCTAACCTTTTTTCACATTTTGTCTTTTTTTCACTGTTCTTTGGACTGTCAAAGCTGAAGCTCTTCTCTCCCGTGCCAAACGTCTTGATTGAGTTGGATCTTTTCTAATTGATCTTTTTAGCTCTAAGTTAAAATGATGATCCCTCTTCCTGTTGTTACCTCTTGATCTAGTTTTCCTCTCTACTGTTCCTTCTTATTCACCGTTTTCTTGTTGGTTCCTGAATGGACTTTGAAGATGGAAGCCAGAGTATAAATGCCTGAAGGCCTGAATGATCTTTTTCCTCTCACCATTGCTCAGTTGAGAAGACATAGTGGGGCTGACACAAAACCTGATCTCATTTTAGCTGAATAATTCAAAGGGTTTTTCAGTGATTCTTATGACAAATAGTGACAAGATGGCTGAACGTCTTATCTGAAAACACGAGAAAAAGAAACTCAATTAGTTTAGTGTTTTTTTTTTTTTAGATATTAAACATGTGGGATGGATAATTATGCTGTTACAATTTTGCTGTAACACCCCGTATATATATATATATATATGAAAATATAGTATATATAGGTCACTGTATTATTTGTGATTTCAGGCACACGTGAGACTCTCTATACAGTGTTGATTCCTCTGTACACACTGACTATATGTTCCTCCTACAAAAAGCGAGACACATTTTCTTTACTAAGATTTATCGAATAAACAAGCTGATAGATAAATAAAAATAGTTCGTCTATTTCAAATAAGATGTATACACCATAATAACATTTGGATTAATATATATATATATATATATATATATATATATATATATATATATATATATATATATATATATATATATATAAATTAATTTTAGAAAGAATTTATATCTAAATGAACCAAATGAGCAAAAAGACAAGCAAGAGAAAAAAAAACTAAGCCGACGCTTTTCGCTCTCTGAGAGAATTTGTCAAGGCACATTTGCCTTGATAAAGTCCATCAGAGGACCAAACGCGTCGGTTAAGAATAACTTTTGCGCTGTTTTTTTATTCCTATATATGCATATAAGTATCTATATATATATATTTGTGTGTGTGTGTATGGGCATGTGTTATTGTCGTATGACAGATGAATAATTATTACATACATTGTAAGAATTATATATCCTTGATATATATATAAATTATATATCCTTTTCTCTGCTTTTTCTCTCTTTATTAATATATATATATATATATATATATATATATATATATATATTAAAAAATAAGAGAAAAGAAGAGAAAAAGGAGAGAAAAACAGAAGAATGAGAAAGTGTGAAAAGGAGAGAGGGAGAAGAAGAAAGAGAACAAGAACAGGACAGTGAGAAAAGAAAGAAAGAAAATACAGGGAAAAAGAAAAAAATAAAGGGGAGGGAAAAACATGAAGGGAGAGATTAAAGGGAGGAAGAAGGGGATTGATAGAAAGGCAAAGATAGAAACGGTAGATAAAAATCGATGTGGGTACAGAGAAAGGAAGAACGGGTTGGATAAAGTGGAATGACCAACGGATAGAGTGATGGACAGAGAAAAATGGCGAGATAGATAGATAGATAGATAGATAGATAGATAGATAGATAGAGAGAGAGAGAGAGGGAGGGGGGAAACAGGGAGAGAGAGGAAGTAAAAGAGGTAGTAAGGAAGGCAGAGACGAAAACGGAGAGATAAAAATAGAGAAGAACAGAAAAAGAAATAGAATAAAGAAAGAGAGAGAGAGAAAGAGAGAGAGAAAGAGAGAGTGAGAGAGAAAGATAAAGACAGACCGAGAGAAAGAGAAAGAACAAAAAAGGAAAATGAGAACTAGAAGAAAAGAAGTGGGGAATTAGGGAAAGACACAAAACATAAAAAAGAGGAGAGAGAGACGTAGATCGTGAGGTAGATATAGATAGATAGATAGATAGACAGACAGAGAAAGAAAGAGAGAGAGAGAGAGAGAGAGAGAGAGAGAGAGAAAGAGTGCGAAGATGAGAGTGAGAGAGACCGAGGGGAAACGGTATTTAAATTAACCCCTCGCAAGAAAACGTCATCGTGTTTCCTTATCTTTGTAAAATCAGTTCGCATAACTGAGAAAGTTGCAAATATCTTCAGGTCTAAAATCGATTACCCACCATACAAATTGTAAGGCAAACGCATACATACAGACAGACATTCATACCCCAACTATATATATATATATATATATATATATATATATATATATATATATATATATATATATATTGTAAAACTACTGATATATGAGTTTGGCACTTTTGTCTTTTTACAGGCGAAAAGTGCCGATTGAATCATTTGAACTTCCCTTGATAGCATCTGGTTAATGTAAGTCACGAGTCACTGGGTAATATAGCCCAATGCTTTTCAAGTTGGGCGTCCATCTTTGTTGTTACGTCTTGTATCGTCTGCTTTCACCCAGGCTCAGGAGTTATGAAACGACTTTCCTTAACTTTATCCAACTGATTTCCTGACAGAAAAGAATACTTGTATATACACTGCGTATCATATTATAAGCATTATGCTAATATATTACAAAATTATCAAATAAGTATTTCGACTAGAGTAGGCATGCGCAACCTTTTCGAATAGTGGGTTGCGTGAGGTACAGCACATCATAAGGAAAAGAAAGTATTTTTATTTTATTAAAGATACCGCAGCCATTTTCCCAAAGAAATGGGGAAACGTTGATTTCTTTTTCTTTGGAGAAAAGATTCCTCATGTAATTAAAAGAATTGAATTCTTGGTATAATATTATCACTGATGACAGCGCGAATAACACACATCACTGGATGTGATTTGTTTTTAATTTATTCATTTGAGTAGACAAAAAATATTTTTTGTACGTGTTTGATATTTTTGTACTTTTTTGATTCCGGGATCTCCAATATGTAATTTGTATTTTGGGCTCATTCTTTTGCTAACAACCGTGAATCCTATCTTCTTACAGGTGATGTTTAGTCCTTTTTTCTCGCTTTCCTTCACTATATTCTGTAGTAGTTTTATTTTCGCGTTTCCTATCAACCCTGTAGCATCTGCATATCTTATGTTGTTAAGATTGTGGCCGTCAATACTGAATCCTGATAGGATTTCTAATTCTCCCAGAATCGTCTCACTGTATAGATTGAATAAGTCCGGAGAGAAAACGCATCCTTGTCTTACACCTCTTCCAATTTTTGTATATCTGCTAAACACATTTTCTGTTTGTATACAGGCTGACAGTATAGCGTCTTGATTATTCTAATATCCTTTCCAAATAAGTTAAGTTTATTAAACAGTTCCAGTAGTTTATTGTGTCGTACATTATCGAACGCTTCTGCATAATCTATAAAACGAACCCGTACTGTTCTAATCGTATTTTCGTTCTGATTATGCTGCATGCTATATTCATTGAATTCCGATGATAAGTTTTGTCATATGACTCATTAAGCTGATTGTCTGATGGAGTTTACATTCGTTTCCACCTGGCTTCTTGTGCAGTGCTATTGAAATAGATCTGCTTAGGACTTCGGGTATCTCACCACTGTTGTAGATTTCATTTATTATTTCGTAAATCTTGTCTATGCCGAAATCATATAATGCTATCAGCATTGCTATTACAATTCTTGTCCTGCTACTTTGTATCTGTTCAGTTTGATCAGTGCAGATTCCACTTCAGATTTTTAATATTTTTGGTTCGTCGATATTCCTGTGTAATGTCGGTTCTTCTCTTTTGTCATTGGATCTAAACAACGCCTTTATAAACAGTGTCAAGGACACATGGCACAGTGGATAAAGGCGTTGGTTAGATCCAGTAACAGGACCCAAAGAATGTGAGTTCAATACCCGGTTAAGGCAGTGGAGAACTTGGAGGGAAATTAACAGGAGATAACTGATAACTGACATCCATTAAACATGGCACGTGGAACTAGAACAGTCTACCCCAGTGAGCTAAATAAAGGGTTCAGTTCGACATTCCAACCACCTGAAGAAGGCCGGAGCGCATAACGGCCGAAACGTTGTAATAAATATGGCGACAAAGATGAGGACAGTAGTCCGAATAATGTAAATAGTGTACATAATACCTCATCTCAGAAATATAGACAGATAGTTTTCTTTAATATGAGCGTTCCGTCGTTGGATGTTATGCATCTTCTTGATGAGTATCTCTTTCGTCCTGTTAGTTCTCTTATTTTTTTTACGATCTGCTTTATCTGTGATATTCATTCTTTCTATTTCTGGACATCTCTGAAAGTCTTCGATTAATCATTGCCAATCATTATCAATTTCTAATTGATAGTTTTATTCCTTTTATATACCCTACTTTTACACTTAGTATTTGTAATAGCTGGTCATGCTGGTTTTGCCACGGATAACAGTGCGGAAAGTGGTATCGGTAATCCGAGTTCAAATTTTAGCCTAGCTTGTGTTCGCTTTCGCACAAATGCTCTTGGGAAAGGCAAGAATCTGTCAATCCACCCCTCCAAATATCAGGACGCTAGCTTGCGCGGTAACCAGTCTATAATCTCCGAGTTCTAAACCGTGGCGAAACCACTCCACCATCTTTCACAAGAAATCGTGAAAATTGAAGGAAAAAGAAGCTGGATAGTCTGGGTCCTAGAAAACATATGGACATAATAATCTTAAATTGATCGATTTTCTAAACCGAAATAAAATGAAGCATTATCAATAATTATTAATTCTTGACTTGTATTTGTTTCATCTTATTTCTCGTTCTCTTACACTTAGTAGTAGTATTAGTCTGAAGCTGTGCAGATTACTAAGATGAAGCATCCGGAATTATTAATTCTTAACTAGGGATTTCTTTATCTTATTTTCTTTGCTTTTGCACCTATTGTAAGTAATAAACGTAATATGGATATGTTGTCTGAGTTTCGGATATGAAGTCATAGATAGATATTTTATTAGATAAACGTTATTTTTAGTGGATACCCATATTTGAGTAGACGTTCAGTTTATTTATTAAACAATAAATTTATTTATTTTCGTCTAAAGGCAGGAATATTCGAGAAATCTTATTTTGAAAAAATATACGCTGTCTCGAATATTCATTGTAAACTCCGTGATTCCTTCATATAAAATGCTTAACCAAAGCTATATCGGTTTGGAAGATTGGTTGCCAATCAAGGGTGAAGAGCCCAGGCTTCCATATATATATATATATATATATATATATATATATATGTGTGTGTGTATGTGTGTGTGTATGTATGTATGTATGCATGTATGTATGTATTATAAATGTAACAGACAATAGGAAAACTGTAATGGTAGCCGACGCGTTTCGTCCAATGTGGGCTTTTTCAAGGCAAAAACGAAATGAATATATTAAACAAACTAATAATAACAAAACAAAATGTCCTTAGTAACTGGAAGAATTTAGAGAATGCTATTTTCATACTGTTAAGTGAAAATTACGTCAATTACTGTCATGTGTGGAGATATTGTTTTTATTGTTGTGTTGACGGATTCAACCATTTTCTTTTCATTTCTTGATACTGTTGTGTACGTTTGCTTGGGCGAGTAGTATTTCTGTTAAGAAAGGTGAAATAGGGAACGAGTCTGGGCGTAGATTAATATTTGGATAATATTCAATGGCTGCACTCTCGAGGATTTTTCTTCTGATTGAGTTATTTTCTTTTTTATGAGTGTAGCATTTTTAACATCAAAATTGTGGTTGAATTTATTTCTATGTATGATTAGAAACTTTCTTAGAAATTGCGTTGATGAAAAAGTTATTCCTCAATGTTCACACAAGCTCATCAAATCGTCGCACCATATTTTACCTGCTTATGCCCATGTTTTTTTGAAATATTCAATACAGAAATTAGAAGAAAAAGAAGCCATTTTGTTACCATAAAGCATATATGACAGGAAGTCACCTACAGAAACACGAACGGAATGAAGTAAAAAGATCAGTCAACTATAATAATAAGAAGAATGTCTGTGTTTTGCAAAACAAACACAGTAAACTTATTAATAATAGCAAATGGTCCAATATCGGCAGAAAAGACCTAATAATAAATTTATCCAAATTCCAACTATCGGATACACAACTAGAAGCACTCAGCTTTGGTCAGAAATTTGCCACTGTAATACCGAAATATGACACCACAGATTACATAATTAAAAATGACCACCACAATGACTCTGACTATATCCAGGGCCTAATCCCAGCTACACACAAAAATACGAACGACACCGCACTTCCTCGAAGATACATCAAAGCCCTGAAAGAATTAGCAAGCAACAAAAACATCCATATATCTACTTCTGATAAGGGCGGCTGAATTGTAATGATGGATAAACACATTTACCAACAGAAGATAAGAACTCATTAACGGTGATAACATCGATGAAAAAGTAAATGAAAACAAAGCTATAAAAGAAACACAAAAATTTACAAGCGACATCAAAAAGGAAGACTTTTCCTGGATAAAACTTATTGAATACCATTCAAAAACACCCATATTATACGGATTACCAAAAACATAAACCGAACATACCAATGAGACCTATCATATTAGGGCCCCACATAAACTAGCCCGCAAACTAAGCAGAATTTTAACTCCACTTCTCGACGCTATTAGTCCCTTATACATGAAAAATTCAGGAGACCTCTGAAACAAATTAAAAAACATAGACATTAAAAACAAATATATAGCTAGTTTAGATATAAAATCTCTATACACAAACGTCCCCATGGAGAAATGCTTAAATCTACTAAAAAAAACACATAACAAAAGCAAAAATTAAATTACCCATACCTACACATAAAATCATAAAAAATATGCCACCTAATCAAGCAATGTTTCTTTACATTTGATAACCAACATTACAGACAAAACTTTGCTTTACCAATGGGATCTCCTCTCAGCGGCGTTCTTGCTTGTCTATTTTTTAGAATTTCTAGAAAGTGACCCTACAAACTCTTCATAATTCAGATACATAGACGACTCATTATTAGTATATCCACAAAATACTAATTTAACAGATCTTCTCTCTAAACTTAACAACGTTGAACCTACAATAGACTTCACCTTTGAAACTGAAACCAACTACACTCTTCCGTTCCTAGACATCATATTACATAGAAATAATAACGAACTCAATTTGACGTTTACAGAAAGGCTACAAACAAAAATGATCTGATCAGTTTCTACTCAAACCACTCTTCTAATATTAAATCTGGAATTATTAGAGGTTTCTGTCTGAGAGCATTAAGAATCTGCATTCGCCAATATTTACTAAAAGAAGAAACATACATAGAAAACACATTCAAAAACCTACAATACCCATATCATTTCATCCACAACGCTAGAAGAAAGGCATACAAAATATACAACCGAAACAAAAATGATAACATAATGCGCAATAATAAATTACATGAAACCATATGCATAATACTACCGACCAATTCTGTCACGTACACTATCCAGAATAACCTATCCCATCTAAATAATCTTAAAATAGTCACAAACACTTCCAAAACCATTATGGATATACTAAGTTCTTCAAACATTAATAGCAATAATATTTCTGAAGCAGGCATTTATAAAATAAATGGCCAAAACTGTTCCTCCCAATATATTGGAGAAACAAGTAGAAATAAAAAAACGCATTTATGAGCACAAAAGAGAGATTACAAAAAACAACTTAACTAATGTACTAGTCATACATAGAAATAAATTCAACCACAATTTTGATTTTAAAAATGCTGCACTCATAAAAAAGAAAATAACTCATTCAGAAGGAAAATCCTTGAGAGTGCAGCCATTGAATATTATCCAAATATTAATCTATACCTAGGAGTTTTCACTATTTCACCTTTCTTAACAGAATTACTACTCTCCCAAACAAACGTACACCACAGTATCAAGAAATCAAAAGAAAATGGTTGAATCCGTCAACACAACAATAAAAACAATATCTCCACACGTGACAGCAATTTGCGTAATTTTCAGTTAACAGTATGAAAATAGTGTTCTCTAAATTCTTGAACTTGCAAAGGACATTTTGTTTTGTTAATATTAGTTACTTTGTTTAATAAATTCATTTCGTTTTTGCCTTGAAAAAGTCCACATTGGACGAAACGCGTCGGCTACCATCACAGTTTTCCTATTGTCTTTTACATTTATAAATATTGTCTTACTCTACAGGTTAACTCTGAGAAATTTTTCATATATATATATATATATATATATATATATATACTTCAAGCGTTATTTTTAATTTTTAACAGCGTTTATTACGTTTATCGGCATGTGCACTCAAGAAAATGTTTATATATATATATATATGTATATATATGTGTGTATAAATATATGTATATATATATATATATATGTATATATATATGTATATATATATATATGAATATGTATATATATGTACATATATATATATATATGTGTATATATATATGTATATGTATATACATACATATACAATCTATGTATATATATATATGTATGCATATATATATATCTATACATAAATGTATATACATACATATATTATAAAATGGACAAAGTCCGACAATTATTTTAAGATATTCTGTATGTTTATACTGTTTATTATAAACAGAGCATTTACTTAAATATTTGTATCTATAAAGAGAACGTATGAATATAAAAAATCTCTTAAAAATACATATATGTATATACATACATATATATATATATATATATATATATATATATATATATATATATATATATATATATATATGTGTGTATATAACGGTCTTATTGCTAATGAGTGTGCTGACAAATAGCCTTTTTTTTATTCCGGCTACCAAAATGCGACATTAGCTTTCGAACAACCAAAGAAATTTTTTTTTCTCAAAACCCACTTGCAGTGTAAAATGATATACGGTCGCTATATTGCCCTTGGCAATTGGTAATTCGAATTATGTGACCCTTTTATAGCTCGCACGGGAATAGTTAAGGAGAAGTTTGTGAAATGCGTACTGGAAACCCTTAAATTATGTTGCTTGGTCAAACCTCTCTAAATTTGAACCATTTTGCTTCTCTTGAGTTTTGCTTTCTGCGGCTTCAGTTACCCGCGGTCGAGTCCAGAAATCTAAAATTCATAAGATTCACTTAACAATAGTCTCAGACAGAGCGCATGATACTGGCTCCTGTAAACATAGGAAGAAATAATATATATATATATATATATATATATATATATATATATATATATATATATATATATACACGTTCGGACAACTGTCCTCAGTTTTGTTGCTGTTATCACAACGTTTCGGCCGTTATGCCCTCTGGCGTTATCGATCTGGGTAACCTGAACAATTTATTTAATCTACGGGGTCCATGGCCATGTATAGAGATATCTTGTCTAGTTCCTATGTTTAAGGACTGCTCAGTTATTGCTTTCCCTGTTTCCACTGAATTCAAGTGTACACAGTGCGACCGAGACATTGAATTCACAAACACTATCACACCAAATTCAAGAAACCAACATTTTAATCCACTAGGCCATTGTCCTGTAGTGAACTTGGAGCCTTAAACCTAACCTGACTGCTGACTAATACTGGAGCATTAACCTGTCTATATATCTGAAAGTAGGTACACTATTTACATTATTGGGGCTGTTGTCTTCATCTTTGTTGCCATATTCCCGATGTTTCGGCCGTTGCACTCTCCGGCCTTCTTCAGGTGATTGGAATTTCGATCTGAACCTTTTATTCCATCCACCGGAGTAGAGTGTTTTAGTTCTACGTGCCATGCCTCTTCCGGATGACTCGGTATAAGTTATCTCACTTTAATTCAACTCTCCAAGTTTTGTTCACCTCTGCTGTAGCCATGTATTATCTTCCCATCCTATTCATATAAACTACCCCTTAACGTAATCTTCTACCTCGAGTGCCCCACCGGGCCTTGTACAGTTTGAACCTTACTGTAAAAAACGGAGTAAATATTATGGAAATGGTTATGTCATCAATAGCAACAATCACATGCATAGACATAGGACGAAGCAGCATGACATCAAAAGAACTATATATATATATATATATATATATATATATAGGTAACTATACTCGTCTCGAAAAATCTTCGAATTTTTGATTTGCCAATAATCAAATCAATCTCGAAGGGAAAAAAGGTTTTAAAAAAAAAAAGAGCCAGGAACATGAAAGTGTGTCGAAAAAATCGCACAGATACAGGTTCAGAGCCTAAAGAAAAAAACCCCGACACGAGTAAACAACTAACTAAAAAGAACTCAATACAACCGTAGAGCAGAGATATATATATATATATATATATATATATATATATATATATATATATATATATATATATATATATATATATATATATATATATATATATATATATATAGAACATGTACATACCCACTACAAAACTGTACATCTTGATACTGAAGACAAGAAATCCCACTGATTAGCAGTGTGCCTTAAATTCGAAACACCTATCATGGAGACGATATGTATTAGATTTTTTTATATATATACGTATTCACTGCTATATAGGTGGACTGATATTACATAACCGTTCAGTACTCTTTTCTTTGTTTCCAACGAAATTTTCCTGTTTCTTCATACTTTGCTTAGCTTTTGAAAGACCTCTTTCGCTATTCCAAAGCGCCTTCGTATTTCAGTGTTGCACGTTTCCAGTTCTGTTTAAACGCTTCCTTGAAATTTAATTTTTGTTCATGTTGGTTATGGTAACAGGAATTTGTAATTCGCATGTAGGACTGTTTCTTTTTCTTACAATCATACATTCTGTCTTCATTCTGGCCACAGCTAAGTAAAAGGGCATAGTCTGACTATTTAATCCATATTTGGGGGACGGTTCGACCGCAAATAATGTAACGCATCATGCTAGAAATACTGAGAGAAATTAGAATCCATCATAAATGGCCTACTGACTCAGAAGGTTGGGGAATCACCTTCTTTCTCCCCATTGTGTTGTGCCAAGCTAAGCTGAGTAAGTATAACGCGAGTGAAGAAGTCTTAATCAAATGAGCCACATGCCGTGCCCCTCGTACGTCACATTTCGTGTCGTAATCAAATTGTCGGCTGCATCAGTTACTGTCTCTTATTTCTGCTTAAATAGATTGGTTACGACAGTCGAATCGGGGCGCTGTAAATATATCTTCCTGGGCAATTGCCCATTAGTTTTACTCTTATTTCACGTCGAAGGAAAAACGGCGTTTTTGTCCCCTGCATCTCGCTGAAGTTTTAGTATCTGTAGTCATGAGCGTTTTAGCAATTATCAATATCGTCGTCATCATTAGCGGCGATAGAACCGTTATTGCCGAGGTTAGTTTATATTATGATTTAATAAGACTTGCTTGGCTCGGCGCAATTAGAAGTAAATCTATTTTGGTTCTGGGAGACACACCTAGTTTTACTAACACATATATGTTAGATTACCCAACATGCATCAATTTCCTAATGTTAGAGAAATCGTAGGCTGACCACAAGTGGCAAAGCTTACTGTTTGGTCAGAACTCTGACGACCCGAACTAAGTGGGAGTGTTTTGAACCCTGTAGGCGTGGAATTCTATAAGTGATGGATTGACTTTGCTTAATGTATAATAAACGCACACACTAACTCTTGCGCATGCGCAAAGAAGTAAATCAAGCCAGATAAAGAAAATGATTAACAGTAATGAAGAGGTTTATTTTGTTGATCGTTTTTTTACAAATTATCGATCATTTGCAGGTTATTTAAAGACAGAAAATATATTTAGATTGTAATAATTCTATTTTTTGTTGAGATAAAAATGATTTGGTGTTATAAGTCTTACTAATTAACACATAGCTGGCGGAAGAAGAGGTGGATTCACAAATTTCTCAAAGGTATTTGCACGGGCCGAACAGGAATTGGAACACGACTCTCCGATTCAAATTCCGAGACGTTATCCAGTACAAAACCCGCATGTTCACGCTTACAGCAACTTCGTATGCCCAAGCGCTCACCCATCTAGGTACTGATCAGGCTTGATGTTACTTAACTTCGGTAGTATTACGGGAACCGGCGATTCAACGTGATGTGGTCGCAAACCTAGAGAAGATATATATATATATATATATATATATATATATATATATATATATATATATATATATATATATATATATATATATATACCCCAAATGCAAGCTTCTTTAGGAGCAACCCTACAATGTGCTACGAGTACTCAAAGTTTAATATACCCCCGAGAGATCTCGAGAGGGGAGTGGAAGAGATCTCTATCAGGACTGATTCTTTGACAACGAACGGAGACGCCCAACCACACTCGAAAGAATGCATTTGTGGAAAGTTGTGCTAAAACCAACGAGGCCTAAGAATCCATCAAGGCCGGATGAAATGCCTGGAGAGGGGGAGGCTTGAGCAACGTACAGGTACAAGCCCTGGTAAAACGAAGGAGAGGAAGGAGTCGCACCACAGAGTCCAATCCCTCCAAGCTCAGCTTTCCTCTCCTCTAGGCATGGAGTCGAGGAGAAGAATCAGATGGCCGCCTGCTTACAACAAGGAGTCCTGGCAGAATTTCGATAATTTATTTATATATATTTTTTTTTTTAAGAGCTGAGAGTATAAATTCTGTCATGAGCACTAGCACAATTCTTTACACGGTGGCGACCTGTAGAATATTTAACAGGTCGGGGGTGGCTGTCGGAGCTGATATGATGAATAAGAACCCCGAAATCAGCGATGAAGACGGCTTTCATCACTGATGACCATCTTTAAGCATTCGAATGTATTTTGCGATATTAGAGATAGAGAGAGACAGAGACAAAGAGACAGGTGAAGAATAAAGACATAGAAGCCAAAAGAAATAGCGATATATTAATAGCAACAGATAGAGAGAGAAAGAGAGGAGAGAGAAAGAGAGGAGAGAGAAAGAGAGGAGAGAGAGAGAGAAGCAGACAGGAGAAAGAAAGTGTATAAAGATAGATATGGCAAAAGCAACAGAGACAGACAGAAAGAGAAAACGAGTGAGAGATAGAAATCTAAAAGACAGACAGAAACAGGGACAAACAGACAAAAATGCAGACAGAGAGACTGAGAAAGCTAAGAAAGACATACAAAGAAATTGAAGACAGAGAAGGTAATAGAGAGAGAGAGAGAGAGAAAGAGAGAGAGAGAGAGAGAGTTTCTGGAAAAATGAATTGCTAACTAAATTTAGGAGTAGATAGGTCACACTCCTCCACTGTCTTTTGAACAGGAGTAGAAGTCTTTCCATTGTTCGTGTTTAGGTTTGAGTTTTCAGTTCCTTCTAAAGTCGGTATTTACTTGACCCCCCCCTACTGAGTCAGGTTGTGACACAAGGTCGGTTTTTAACGTGGGGACCCGAGTGTTTTCACTCGGGCTGCTGGTCTAAGCTCGTCATAGCTTGTCCAAGCTGGTCTAAGCTAGTCTTGGCTTGTCATAGCTGGTTCAGGCCAGAGCCGGTCCAAGCTAGTCGTAGCCGCGATACTACCAGCACAGTCGTTTCATTCTCTTTCATTCACAGAAGCCTCCTGCGTCTTAGTGACACTATCGCATTTCTCGGGGTGAATTGATTAAAAATATGTATTAAGAGATTTGTTAGGACTTAAATTCCCTCCTCACTGCGTTGCAAAATCGACATTTTAGAGGCGCTTGTCATAGAATGATTATTACTAATAAGCTTATCTCGAGAGCTATTGTTTATGTAATAACTCTCATCGTCTGTCTTCTACGTGTTAGTATCAGTCAGTCAGTTATGTGCTATGCGTGATACACGCTTAGGCGATACATGACTGACGAGGCAGGTTGACATTTCTTTTTGCGGTAGACCAGTTGCCATCAAAGGCTATAGAAATTGGTCTGTCCTTTTATTTACCCATAGCTAGGGGGAGAAGAATAGGATTCATACCTTTCCCAAGTAAGTGAATGTAATGGATTCGACTGGAATTCGAACTCGGCTCTCCGATTCCTCAATCCGAGCCGCTATCCATTAGTCTACCGTGCCTCTTAAGCTTGAGAGTAAATTGTGGAGATTCGTCCATGAAGTGACACGGAATGTAGAAGAAAAAGAAAAAAAAGTCCCATATTTATTTATTTATTCATATGTCTGTGAGTGAGAAGCCCACAGAAAATCACCCCTTTGTGCATAATTCATAGATGACCGAGTAACTTGTGAGGGAGCGAATTGAGCGATAAGCATTTTAGTGTCTGCTTTAAAACTTAACCCAACTGGATACAGAAAAATCTAGAATCAAGTAAAATTAAAAATGCAAACCCCGCCCCACCAAAGTAAACAGATAAAACAAGCAAAAACAATAAGAAGTAAATAGATAGACAGACGTTCGTCATCTGAAAGCCACATTTTAATGATCTTCATCGGGGAGAATGATCAATGGTAACTATCGTCAAAAGTAAGAAAACGTGTGAAAGTGTTTTCTTACTTTTCGCTTTATTTTATCTCAGCGACGGCGCTCAGGTTTCTAAACTTGTTAAACAGATTCAATTTGTGGTCTCGGCGAACGCGGAAACAATCTGGGAAAACGACGGTGACGAGGGGAAAGATGGCTGCCAGAATAATCAGAGAGCCGGCGAAAAGGACTTCGTGTAAAATGAAGTCAGGTCTCGACGGGCAGCGCGCTGTGTCGGCCCAGAATTAGCTCTGTAATAGAAAAGACCTTTCGGTTAACACGGGCAAAGTGGTTAATAAATACGCGTTTATGAATCCGGTTCGAAGGCATATCTCTTCCATCTTTTCAAAGTGATTAGATTTTGGTTTTGTTTTAAGATTTCAGTGAAATAGGAAAAATGATGCCAGCAGGCTGTAATTTTAATGTCGTCGTACAGGGGAGAGTAAGTTTGCAGAATCTGGTTGCCGACCGTTGATGTCATCACATGCAACAATTCTATTCGATGAGGCATGAAAATAATTTGTCATGCACCTTGTATGAGAAGCATACAATTTTTTACGTTATTTATTTAGCATACCCTTTATGAAAGTAGAGAGAGAGAGAGAGAGAGAGAGAGAGAAAGTAAAAATGAGAGAGACATCGAATGCAAGAAAGAGCGAGAGAGGAAAGAGAGAGTGAGGGAAGGGGCCCGGGAGAGAAGAAGGATGAGGGAGATATCAAAATAGATAAATACAGAGAGAGAGAGAGAGAGAGAGAGAGAGAGAGAGAGAGAGAGTGGGGAAGTAAAGAAAGAAGGAAAAAAGAGTCAACACATCGAATGCAAGAAAAGGCTAGAGAGAGAGGGAGTGAGGAGGAAGAGGCCTTAGACAGAAGTAGAACGAGGTAGATGTCGAAATAGATGGAGAGAGAGAGAGAATGAGAGAGAGAGATAGAAAGATAGAGAAAGAGAAGAAAAGTTAAAACAGAGACAGACATCGAATGCAAGAAAAGGCGCGCGCGCAAGAGAGAGAGATAGAGATAGAGAGAGACAAGTAGGGAAGGAAGGGCCTGTGATAGAATCAGAATAAGGGAGATGTTGAAATAGATAGATACAGGGAGAGACAGATAGAGAGAGAGAGAGAGGGAGAGAGAGAAGAAAGAAAAGGTAAAAAAAAGAGGCATCGAATGCTACAAAAGGGGAAGGAAAGAGAGAGAGAAAGGGGAGAAGGGTGGCTGGAACGGAGGCAGAAAGTGAGAGATATCAAAATAGATAGATACAAAGAGAGAGAGAGAGAGAGGGAGAGAGAGAGAGAGAGGAAAGAGAAGGTAAAAAAAGAGACTGACGTCAAATGCAAGAAAAGGCGAGAAATAGAGAGAGGGATAGAGAGAGGAGGAGGGGAACGTGCCTGGGACAGGAGCAGAACGTGGGAGATGTGGAAATAGATAGATAGATAGATAGATAGATAGATAGAGAGAGAGAGAGAGAGAGAGAGAGAGAGAAGGTAAAAAAGAGACAGACATCGAATGCAAAAGGCGAGAGAGAGAGAGAGAGACTGAGAGCGGGGCCTGGCAGAACGAGGGAGATATCAAAATAGATAGATACAGAGAGAGAGAGAGAGAGAGAGAGAGAGAGAGAGAGAGAGAGAAAGAGAGAAGAAAAAGAAGGTAAAAATGAGACATACATCAAATGCAAGAAAAAGCGAGAATGAGAGGGTAAGAGAGGGAAGGTGTCTGCGACAGAGGGAGATATCGGGATAGATAGATAGATAGATAGATAGATAGAGAGAGAGAGAGAGAGAGAGAGAGAGAGAGAGAGAGAGAGCAGTGCTGTGCAAATAACGTTCGGTAGTCTCTACAGAAATTTACTAAGCAAATTTCGTCTTCCTTTTTATGTCATGCCCTTTCTGAACGTAGGCGATCATGGCTCTCTATCTCCCTCTATCCCTTGCAGTTCTCAGCAAGCACCTTACCTCTGTTTCCTCTCCCAGACCCCGTTCTGTCATCCACTTGCTTAAGGCCGCCAGTTATGTGACGCGTTGTTTTCCCTTGTCTGTCTTTTCCTCTATTCGACCCGTGAGTATCAGATTCTTCAAGCCATCCTTCCTCATTTTGTGTCCCAGAAACTTCAGCTGGCTCTTCCGAATGTTTAAGTACAAGCCTCCTCCTTATTTGCAACCTCTTTAGGACTTCATCGTTGCTCATTCGCTCAGTCCATGATATCCTTAGCATCCTTCTGTAGAACCACATCTCTGTCGCCTCGAGTCTCTTCTTCATCTTTGAGGAAATCGCACAACATTCGTTGCTGTAAAGAAGGACAGATGTCACGTAACAGCTCAGCATTCGTTTCTTTGTTACCAAAGAAATCCTCCTGTCTCGCAGTACTCTGCCCAGCTCATGTTGAAATTTAGTTGCTAGATCCTATAGAACCAATGAGAAGAGAAGCCAACGGCTAGTATGTCGACCAAGAAATCCTGTTATTATTAGAGTCTTTCATTGTAACTAAACGTCGAAACGAACTAAGAATTAGAGACGTCAACAATAAACAAGTAGGAAAATTGAAATATCTGCTAACAGAGGAGAGAATATGTGACACCGAAATCCGAAGAACAAATGTTGCATAACAAAAAGCAGAAAATAATCAAGAAAGTTTCATTAGAAACAAAGACAACTGTGTTGGACTGCTATGTAATATTTTTGTGATGTCTCGGGGTTCTTGATAGGCTCCAGAGGCGGATATGCAATATAATTGTCCCTGTTCTGGCATCTCGTCTACAGTCACTTTCTCACAGACGGGCCGTCGTCTCTCTCTGTCTGTTTTACAAATGCATTCATGGTAATTGCTCGGAGGAGCTGCATTCGCTGGTTCCCAGACTTCATGAGTTCAAGCGCCTTACGAGGCTGGCATCCATCTCTCACCCTTTCACTGTCAAAACTCCTAAATGTAGCCGTCTTTTCTACTCCAATAGATCCATGTCTCGCACCTCTCGCCTGTGGAACTCCCTTCCTATTCCAGTTTCCCTGAGAGCTATAATCTCCAGCTATTCAAATGTAATGTCAATCGACATCCCCAGTTGCCTTGATCTATCCACTACCCTTCTCCTCATCCTTTCTTCTATCACTCCTATCTGATCTTGCTCCAAATTTTCTGTAACCCCTTGCGCCCTAGTGGCTTCTCGCCTTGCTTGGGGCGAAACGCTTAAAAAAAAATGTCAACGAACACTCGTTGCCACTTTTTTTGATGTCAACAAATACTCATTATAACTTTCGTAATGCTCTTTGTAGGAGAGACTTTGTAATTGCAGATACAACTATAGTAACGCCGTTGAACAATACTGGTGTCAGACGCCTTCGAATATCACTCGTACTAATAGTACTTGCTCGATAATACTCGCTCGAATAGTAATCTGTATAGTGATTCGAATAGAGAAATAGTATAGTGAATAGAGTAGAGAATAGCGCTCCTAATAGTAATAGAGGATAGGATAGGAATGGCGATCAATTAAACGTCACGCGACTTCCTAATTATACATTTCCTCGATGCTCATGTCGTCTACTTAATTTAATAATGGAATCGTCTGTATTTGCTCACTGGTGATCAATGTTCACACTCAAGTGTCGACAGCGACACTTTATTCCTATATAACAAATATCAGTCCTTCTTGTATGTCAATGAATGTAGGACAATTTCTTCACAGACTAAGAAGATACTAAGCAACAGAGATGCGGTTCTACAGAAAGATGCTGAGATCTCATGGACTGAACATGTAAACAACGAGGAAGTTTTATGGAAAATGGAAAGAAAAAGCGTACTTTTACTTAAAATTAGAAAGTGGCAACTGAAATCTCTTGGGGGAATTGAGAAAAGAAGCCTTGAAAAATTTGACACTCACTGGCCATATTGAAGGTAAAAACAGTAAAGAGAAACCGTGAATAACCAACTCAACAAGTTTGGTTAAATGCGTGCCAAAACGGGGACAGATAGTAAAAAAAGGTTGCTAAGAGCTACAAAGGAGAGGAAGTTGTGATGAGCCATAATCGGCGACGTTAGGGACACGTCATATAATCGCCGTAGACCAATGTATATGAGTGAAGCAATAGTCACTTATAGACAAACAAGCCTAAACTTATTACTTAGAAGGAAGCCTCAAGTTCCTAGATATTTGCCACAGTCTTTCCACTTAATGTCAGCTGAGAACGCTAGCCCGATATAGCGCAACGAGTCTCTTCCCTGGAAGTTAGCATCAGCCATGCTGTTGGAAGGCAGAGATCCCTCTCTGCTTTCCATCAGCATGGCTTCTTGGTATAACATGAATTGAAAAGATTGACAGCTGATATGAAGTGGAAAGATTATATTGAATCTATCGCTAGGTGAGCTGCTAAGAAAGTTGGTTTACTGTGTCGTGCTAGAAACATTTTCTCTCCAGAATCTTACATCTCTATAAGTCTACCATTCGACCAAGCTTAGAATATTGATGCCACATATGGTTCGGTGCCCCTGCTATTTACCATGAACTCCATGAAAATCCAAAGAATTAGCAATATTATCAGTCCTGATCTGGCGGCTCGGCTTTAGTCATTTTCCCACCACCGTAAATTTGCCTCTCTGTGTCTTTTCCATACATTTTCTGGTAATTGTTCGGATGAGCTCTTCAGTATAGTATTTTTTTCTGTTTTAATTCACCTTCTCTTCCCTCGTTACGTGGTCAGTGATGTTAGTTCTCTGGTGGATGTGGGTGCCTTTCGTTTTCATGTATGTATTTTTCGTATTTGCTGTCTGAATGAGTGTGTTTTTGCGAGTGCTTTGGATGAATGAATGTTTTATATTATAGTCCCGCATTGATTTCGTCCAGTTAACTGATGTTTCTTCCACATTTAAGGATTATGGTGGCTTTTATTACTAACATTATTTTGTTTAGTTTCTTGTAAATAGATTGTTACTCATATTGTAAATACTCATTGGGGCTAATTCTTAAATTGTTCTTTTATTCCCCTCCCCGCACAGACAATGAATTGTACATATGGAGACAAGTTAGGATTTTCATAGAGACAATGAGGTATTATGGTGGATGTAGTAAAAAAAGATAAGTAAGAATGTATTGTTTTGATGTTAGGAATATTGTAGTATGTTTGGGTCAGTGTTTGTAGGTAGCTAAATTTAAATTTAAGACAGAAAAAGACCGTCGTTTTCCACATTCCCGATTTTGGCCTTGTGCCACGTTTTCTGTATTTGAAGCGGAAATAAATATCGCTCTTCATTCAGAAATTAAAGAGTAGAGTCAAGCCGCAAACTTTTTTGGTTATAAGGTAGATTTTTTAAAATATATTTCATACTTTATTTTTCATATTTTTGCTACACACGTTTCGAGTCTTGTGATCTTCATCAGGCGAAGAGTAGTTATTTCCACATAATATTTAAAGGAATTAAATTTTACTCATGTTTTCCTCAACCTTTTGAATTTAAGCGCAATTTACAGTTGTACATGGCTAGACGTAACCGCAAATTCTATGCTAACAGTTTCTTTTGTCGCATTTCTCGCTTGTGGAATTCTCTTATGGCTCCAACTTTAATCTGCAAAAGATTAAAGGCAATGTCAATCGTTATCTACTGTCCTCCTGGTTAGTCTTTTCTCTTCCCTCTCATTATTAATGTTTCAGTTCCTAATTCGTCCACTCCCAGTAAGCCCTTGTGTCTTAGTGGCATTACTGCCTTGCGTGGGGTGAAAAAATACTTAACAATTATCGTCCATGAAAGAAAACGCGAGTAAAGCGAATACGATTTGTTTCTCCACCCGATTAAATGTAACAAGATTTCAGCAGTTTAAGCTTCTATAAAACATCCAAACATGTCTTCCACCCATCAACCTCTTCCCAAAACCACGAGACCTTAAATTAGTTTTCGCTGACGTTCCTCGCGTTACAAATCTCATGGCTTCAGGGTTCGATTTAGAAATTGACCTTCAATGAGATGGAGTGGATGAAGAATTATCAATCTTTCATGCCTCCGAGTTGCGATTGATCTTAGGGAGTGACCTTCACGTGTATGAAGGTGACCTTAGCCAGAGGAACTGGGTTTTCACCTTTCAATTGTAGCGAGAGGATCGACTTGGTATATTGCACGATTCTTAGGCCATTGTCTTTTCTGGGTGCATTTTTGCATCTGTGCTTTTGGAATCAGCATCGTCGGCTACAGCTTTTTATCCGTGTGCTGGTTTATTTTTGGAATCTACAAAATTGACATTATTAACAGCTTTTTTCCCCCTGAATAGAAACATCTAAAGAAAGAAAGCCTTATGTTTCCTTACGTCTGTTGTTCCCTCTTTCACTCGTTCAATTCATCATCCATCATCCATCAACCATTATATATATATATATATATATATATATATATATATATATAGAAAGAGAGAGGGAGAGAGAGAGAGAAAGAGAAAGAGAGAGAAAGAAATTAAAGAGTACAGTCAAGCTGCAAACGTTTTTTGTTATAAGGTGGATTTTTTAAATATATCTCATACTTTATTTTCCATATTTTTGCTAAACACGTTTCGGGTCTTTCGACCTTCATCAGACAAAGACTGGTTATTTCCACATAATATTTAAAGGAATTAAATTCTACTTATGTTTTCCGATGTTTAACTATTGTCTTATGTGTGTAGTAGTAATCCAAATTTTCTTGGACTTGTGGAGAAAATATTCTTCTGCTTAAGGGCTAATAAAACAATTAAGATTGGTCAGAGAAAAAAATCAAACGAAGGAGGTCTTTATTCTTATCTTTTTATGACCTCTGTATCTTTTTACACCTATCTCCATTGTTGCGTATTTCGTGTGGGTGTGTGATTTTGCTAGTATGTGTAT